AATTTTTAAACGGCTAAGCCATTTCTGAGCCGCCACATAGGAATAATTTAGAGCTGGCCAATAGCGGGACACAAATTTGCAGTCGAATGGCGGGAACTCTCTTGCACCGGGGGTTTTCTGCTGCAACAGAAAACCTTTACTTTTGCAAGAGGCTCTCATGTGGCGGGAAAATTCCACCATGCCGAGGCACCAAAATCACTGGGTTGTGACAGTCACCACCTTGGAACTGGAAATCCTGCCCCCTAACCCCTCACCTCTGCCACTGGAGCGCCCTCCCCTTACCCCCGGAAGTACTCATTTTGGCTAGGGGTTTTGCCATTTTGGAACAGGAAAAAAAAAAATATATATATTTTAAAAATCAAACAACGTACATTAATTTGATTTCAAATAATATTTTTGTCCTGATTTATGTGTTTATGTAGATAGATAGATATTATGTATAATAGTTTAAAATTAAGTTTTACTTTTATATATTGTGGCGGGGATATGGAGGAGTGTGGTGGGTTGGGTACAGTGTTTGTGGGTGTGGGCTGTGTGTGTGAGAGTGTGTGTGTATGTAGGGGAGGGTTATGGGCGTGTGTGTGGAGTTTGTAGGGGGTGGATAGGTGTGGAGGGTGCGAGTGGTTATGGGGTTTGTGAGGGGCTGTGTAGGAGGGAGGGTGGCAGGGAGGGGTTGTGGCATGTGTGGAGAGGGGAAGTTGGCTGAGGTATATGAGGGAGGGGTAGGGTGTGCAGGAGGCACTTGGGTGTGTATGTATGGTGCTTATGGCCTGTGGCAGGCAGAGACCCCTGGAGGTGCGCGGTCCCAGTGAGCCTCAGGACTGCATGTGGCCGGGCCAACAGCAGGGAGAGTGGTGGTGTTGGCCCGGCTCCATAGAGCTCCTGCTGTCCCACCCTGGGCCCGACCCCAGGGCACTGGCGCAGGCCCCACACTCCCACTCACTGTCACTCTTCCCTTCGGCCTGGAGCCACTGCCACCACCACTTCCCCTTCCTGCCACCTCTGCCCTTCCTCAGCCATTTCCTTTCCTTTCCTTCCTGCTTGCTGCCACCCCTCTCTCCCCACACCTGCCTGCCACCCCAGATTTCACAGATTTAACCAGGACCTGTATCAGTGCACCTCTAAAGTTTGTTACTTATCATAAGCTTCCACCTTACTGTAGACAAGTGGTTCTCAAATCTGTTTACACTCACAGTGTGCCTTGGAAAATGCCAGCTCTTAGCTTTCACTAGTTTTTTGACTATGGAAAAATAATATAACGATTCTTCTGTTGCAAAGAATTCAGAAAGACCACAACCAGTCAGAATGATTTTGACATTATGGATTCTTATTTGAAATCTCTGTATTTACCTTGCGAATTGTGTAGGTTTTTACATCCTTAAACATACTAATACTGTGTTAGTAACCTGTGACACCCTTAAAAGGGTATGCTTAGCAATACAACCCCTTCTTACTATTGCCACTGTCACCAGCTGTCCTGAGGGGCTGAATGAGAGACTCCACAGCCAGTCCTGATTCACTCTGTCTAGGCTGCACAGAAAGCCAGAATCAGCTGAGGACAGCAGTGTTGGCAGATGGGTTCCCTTTCTCCCTGCACCTGCTTCTGGGCTGGCAAGGAACACCTGGAGTGGCAGAACATGGAGGGTGGACCACTTGCTGCTGCTGGTGTTGCTGTCCCCAGCTGAGCCTGGGTCACTGCAGAGCAGGGCAGGAGTGGTTGTGGAACCTCCCATCCCTGGGTCAGCAGAGACAGCAGCTCTCAGGGGAAGGTGGGGGAAGATAAGAGGGGAAAGGAGGGGGCTTGGGAAATCTTCTTTCCTTCCTTGGGTGCTTAATAAAAAGTCCTATCCCATATTGCTCTCCCCCAGTATTACCTGAAAAGCAGTTTTAACTGAAAGGCAGGAGTGGTGGGGGGTACCTGCACATCCATGCTACAGCAGCCTCTTTGGATCTGCCCCTGCCAATTTGCCTCCTAACTGGAATTACTCTGAATTTTTGTCTAACTGCCTGGATTGAAAGGGCTAACAAATTGCTGCCTCTGTGGCAACATACTAATGCCCCCATCATTTTGTCTTACCTAGGAAAGCAGCAAGAACCTCTGTTTAGATGCCTAGATTCTGTATGTGCCCTTTATGCACCTCCACTTTAGCTTAACAAATGCTCGGCAGTTCCTTATATGACCTAGATTTTTCCTACTGTACATGCTCAGAAGTGACCCAAAATGACTGCTAAGGCACCTGACTGCATATTGTAACCAACCAATCCATTGAGAAAGTACAGAATGATCTGTAATTCTTCATAGCACCCAAAATCCTTAAAGAAAAGAGAATGCACATTTGACTTTCTGCTGAGATTAGGCATGGCAGTAGCAGCACCATCTTTTTGACTAATAGCCTAGTGATTAAGGCACTTATGTTGGAAGTGGGATACCTAGGTTCTAGGCCTCACTCTGAGAGAGTTTGGGCCCACATTTCTTACTTCCTAGGCATGTTTCCTTACTGCAAGACCAGGGGTATGGCTTCTCAGGTTTCCTCCGTGGGCCACTGAGCAGTGAAATTAAAGAGTTTGGCGGCCTGAAGGAAAAGCAAACAAAGCTGCATCACATTGCTCACCCTCAGTGAGCCCCAAGATCCTTCTGGGAAATCCTGCCACCCAGTCAGTTATTTCCCATAATCAAAAAGACAAATACAGAATGGGAGATAACTAACTGGGTGGCAGGATTGCCCCCTGTGCCTGCCTGTGGTGGCGACAGGAACGTCCTTCCCCCTCTTCCATAACCCTGGACAAGCTGCTCGGGGAGCGATCATCCCACAACCTGCCGTGGGGCCCCATTCACCTCCCCTCTGCTCCAGGGGCCTCAATCTGCCCACCCCCCACTCCCCTTCCCCACATCCCTTCCCATCCACACATTTGCTGCTCAGCTGGGCGCTGCTTCACACATGGCCAGGCCGGGCTGAGTTCCCAGCTGCCTGCAGGCTTTGGCTGCTTGTCTCCATCTGTGCACCCTCCCGCCCCCATGTTTGGGAGGCTAAGACCTCTTAGACCCATCCTTCTGCTGCCTATGCCCAGGGGCAGAATCTGGGGACTGCAAAGGAAGGACTTGGAGTAGCAGCCATGGTGGAGGAAACCTTGGAGTCTGCACTGAGAGCTAGAAAAGTATTCCAAACCTTCCTGGTTTCTGTTTTGCAAGCCCTGCTGGAGGGTGAGACTAACCCCAGATGCAGCATAGGTTTTTTTTTTTTTTTTTTTTTAGTTGAACCAGACATGTGCATGGTTTTGTTTCCTCTTCTCTTGACTGTAGGGGAGGCCACTGATAGGGGTGCCTGGACACCCCAGATTTTAGGTGTTGTTTGTTCATAAAATGATGAGACTAGGGACATAAGCCCAGAAGCCTACAGCGCCAAAGTCTGCTGAGACAGAGGAGGGGCAGATTCAATACTTTGGAAGATGAGACCCATGGCTGCAGAGACCTGCATAGGGGTCACAATGGGACCAAGGGACCGGAGGTTGCAAGAGCGTGACTGAAGCTGAGCTGAGCGCTTGCAGTCCTGGCCAATGGATCTCCAGCTGAAAGGCTCAGCCAGAGTAAAAGTGGAATGAAGCTAGCGGGGCCATGACCCAGACGAGGTCTTCTACCTAAAGCCCTCTGAACTCAAGGGAGCATTCCTTGTCCATTCATTACATCAAGGCTTGGCAGGAAGGGTCACAAGGGATGGAAGACCCTAGAGAGGAATGAGAGAAACTAGCAGGGAGAGGCCCAGAAAGGTGAATACATCATTCTGACCCCCAGAGGCCCCATACGCACCCATAAGCATGTTGCACCTTGTCAGCTGCGGGGCTGGCAGTATGTGATGCACTCCTGTGGCTGGGAGCCCCTCAGTTGATGGAGCTTCTAGCTACAGGGGAGCACTTGGCTACATGTTCAATTAATGGAATGATTAGAACAAGTTACAAAGCTATTACACTTTTTTTTTTTTTTTTGTGGAATAACTTTGTAGCTTATTACTTGTTTTATCACACCATAAGTTGTGACCCAGCTACACGTTCAAACAAAGGCGTGTTTACATGGTTAAACATACCTTACTGTAAGGTGTAGAGGAGACCTTAGTCATTCCAGTATTTTCTTTTGCAATTAAAGCTATAGTAGATTTTGTCCACTGGGTGGCATATTTCAGCTGTAATACCAGTAAGTCCTTCACCAAGCCTGTTGAAGAACAACAAAAGGCTAGCATAACATAAAGGCCCTTAATCTTCAACACAGCCTTAGCCAGACCTCATTTTTTCCTCAGGTGCAAAAAGCTGCTTGCATAATTTGGATTGGTC